TCTTAAGACTGCTAAATAGTAATATATTCTGACAGTTTAACGTTAAACTAAACTTTTATTTTGACGGGTTGCCGTGAAGAACTTGCAGCTGCTGTGTATGTGATATGACGGTAGTTTTCTCAAATGAAACGGTAAATGCTAATGAAGAGACTCTCAGAGCAGCTGGAGATGACATTCGTGTTCATATCATCATATAGTGAGACGGCAGAAGCTGAAAACACCGCGAGCGTCATCCGCGCTTTAGTATGTGTGTAGTAAACAAAACTCATTCATTGCGGAAATCATGGCGACTTATGCATGATATCAAATGCATCCTCAGATTTATAGTATTACTATAGCATTTCCCCGGAGCATTGCGAATCACGCGTATGGCCATGATAAGCGCTGAATGAATGACAGGCTTTCTGTTGTAACATTGCGCAAGGTAAATAAGGGTGACATCTAGTGGAGAAGACTAATGATAAGATTCACGTTAATCAGATCAGTTTTAAATGTGCTGAAATAAATCCCAGAAAAGATAGAGTCGCAGCTTTTGAGAATCGATATCATTTTTTAAAAAAAACGATTAATCGAAAAATCTATTTTTTTGCCCAGCCCTACAACCAATCAGGATCCAGGCCAGAAAATATGCATTTATAACTATATACTCTTTAAAACTTAAAGAATTAATTCTTTAAATTCTTTAAAAGCGGTTTCGAAAGTGAACAAAGTTGCAAAACTTGATGAGCTGCATAAACTGAACCCAGAAAGAAAAAATGAGACAGACACATCAATAATTGCACTTAGCAGACCTCACAGTGTAAAATTAGTCTCCTAAACATGTTTGTGTGTGTGTGTGTTACTGAGGAGCGTAACAACCTTGGCAGGTTAAGCATGCATATGTATGCGTTTATGATGATGTCAGAGCTCAGGCAGTCAGAAGGGGTCATGTGACCCTCAGTGAGGATTAGAGCTCCTCTATCTCAGCATCCTTAACAGGCCACACACAGCACTCATGCACACACACACCACTTGAGTTATTATTCACCAAAGCTGAGAAAATTCCATTAAACACACACACACACACACACACACACACAAAACCTGCACACATACTTCTGCACTAACAAGTCTTACATTTAACCTCAGTCCCACTGAGATGAAACTCTCACACACAAAACAAACTCGCTCAGAAAGAAAGTGAAAGTGAGAGGAGGCACCCACTAAGACAAACAACCCGACAACACACACACACACACACTGCCTGCTGTTGTTTACTGTGTTACAGATCTGCTCACAGGACCAAGCCTTAAAAACAGTGCCTTATAGTCACAATTAGCAGATTAGAATTGTGTGATGATATAGTTACATTTTGCAATGATATGAGCAATCATGCATTTGAGATTTGCTATATAGTATGTAATGCTTTACGTACTTACGTACATATATTTTATGTATGCGGGTAAATGTGGATGTATTAGCTATATATCCAACTGCCAAGTCTCAATGCTATTCTAGTTTCTAGATACAAGTTATAAGCCATAATGTAAAGCGAGATACTATCGACAAAACTATATATTTTTTTAATCCACTGATTAATTTTGGGCTATTTTTTCCTCCATAACATGTCTTCTTTCAGACTAGTGGTAAGAAAACATCCAAAATACACATTTAAGTGTCTATTGTATTATACTTTACCTGTAGATTTCAATTACTATTTCAATTTTCAGTTCTGGAAATTAGTGCATATTTAATATAACAACTCACTAATTTTCATATTTGAAACAACACATTGCAGAAAACCTGTATTAAAAAAAAGAATTGTCTTAATGTCCTCTGATTAATCAACTGGAGAAGTATGGTGATATCTATTAGTTACAGTTTTACCCTGGGTCTTGCCTTAAAAGCTTAAGGCTTACATACAAAAATGAGTTCATGCAATGCAGATCAAGTTCAGGGCCACTCAGAATATTTGGCAGCAGAATTCGCAAAGCATTTTTTGGCTAATTTAACAATGCTTTCAGCGATCAATAAGAATGAAGTATTCTTAATTTAAACTTAATTTAACCAGGTTTACATTTAGCATTCAGCATATTTTGCCCCAAAATCAGTGCAAAAACTGTGAAGAAAGTCTTCAGATTACATTCAGACCTGGTCATGATCTTCTCTCATCATTAAAATCCTACGCAAGAATAGGGCTGCACGATAAATCGAAATGGAATCGAGATCGCGATTCGACAGAAGCTGCGATTGTCATGTGTATCTTTTAGTGAAGCACGGTTCTGTGATCGGCAGTAAATCTCCATCCAAAGGCCAGAGGGCGCTCTCGCGCTGAAACTCCAAACACGCCTCGCAGAAGAGATGCCTTATTCTGTGTAAGAAGCCACATCATAAACAGAAGATTCAACTGCTTTCATTGAATCATCGTGACTAATAAACACACGACTACGGCAATATACAGTTTATCGGAGTTCTTCTTATTATAATTTTAATTACAATAAAGTATATTTAAATAAGTTTATTCAATGCCTTTATCACTGCTTAAATACTATGAAATATGTTGCGTGCCTTATTCTGTGTAAGAAGCCACATCATCTCACAGAAGGATTTATTTCAAACACTCGACTGACGTTATGAAGTGAGTTTGGAGTAAAAATATGTTATTAAATGTGGTATTTTCACATGCTTTCAGATGGAGCAGCTTTTACTTCACAGAGCCGTAGTTCAC